AAGGTAGCCAGTTCGCGTTCCTGTGAGGACACGCAGGATCTTTCTGTGTGAAGTTTGCATGTTCTCCCCGTGCAGCGTGGGTTCTCTCTGGGTTCTCCAGCTTCCTCCCACACAGTCCAAAAACATCCATCCATCCATTATCTATACACCGCTTAATCCTCACTAGGGTCACGGGGGGGCTGGAGCCTATCCCAGCCGACTTTAGGCCGAAGGCAGGGGACACCCTGGACAGGTCGCCAGTCCATCGCAGGGCTACACTTAGAGACAGACAACCAAGCACACTCACATTCACACCTACGGACAATTTAGAATCACCAATTAACCTCAACATGTTTTTGGACTGTGTGGGAGGAAGCCGGAGAACCTGGAGAGAACCCACGCTGCACGGGGAGAACATGCAAACAGTCCAAAAACATGTTGAGGTTAATTGGTGATTCTAAATTGTCTGTAGGTGTGAATGTGAGTGTGCTTGGTTGTCTGTCTCTAGGTGTAACCGTGTGATAGACTGATGACCTGTCCAGGGTGTCTCCTGAAAAGGGTTTAAGGAAACCATAATAACAAGCTGTAAATTCACCTTGTACACAACAGTGGAGAACCAGGGCGGCATGAACACCAGATTGCAGAGCCTGGCAGTAGGGCACTGCTGCTCCATACACACCAGGAGGGCCACCTCGCCCAGTCGGCCCAGCCCAACCAGCTCCACAGGCACCTTCAGCGCCACCTCGGCCTGCTCCTCATACACCCCTGGATGGAGCACCACACGGTCATAGGGCCCCGCCACACCAAGGGCCCCGCGGAGGGTCTCAAACTCACATCCGGGCCCCACATTCCAAACCCTGCGGTCTTTTCTTCGCCGGAAAAAGAGAAGGCAGGCAGAGGACTGCAGCTCTGGTCCGTTTTGAGTCCAGGTGCGGGTGGCCAGGGCGTGCTGCTTCAGGGCCTCTCTCCAGGAGGGGGGCTCCAGGTGGGGCTGACTGGGCCAATTGGGGTGTCTGCACTCTGGGCACCCGAGGCAGAGCTGCCTCCAGCGGGTGTTATCCAGAGAGAGGACGAGCTCCCTCCAGGCACGGCACACCTGGCAGCAGCGGCCCAGGTCAGGGAGAGGAAGGTAGGCCAAGATAACCCTCCACAGCTCCACGGGGAGGCTGCCCACCTCCATGGCAGCGGAGACGCCGGCTGGGGAGCGCCGAGCCTGGAGACAGTCAGTCAGGTAGCTAGCGTGAACCGTTACACAACAATAATAAAGACGTACAACTGTGCGTAGCTTTAATACATTCTGCCAGCGTTTACACCAACTAGCTACAGTTTGTTTGCAGGAGAATAGCACACATTTCTGTTATGTTACTGACGTCGCCACGCAGGTCTGAAATATTTAGCTAAAAGTTTGCTACGATAAATGTTGGTTAGCTAGCAAGGCAGCGCTAGTTACTGGCAAAGCTCTCGTGACTAACGTTAGCTACATCATGAAAAATGAAAGCCTTACCTTTTTTCCTTTTGTTTTTGTTTTTCTACCAGTTTGCCATGCTTCGTCGAATCAACACATGTCGGCTCGATGTCTGGACCTGCTATCTACGGACATGTCTGAGACTTCGTCCTCACAGCCTCCAGAGTTCAAAACAATCCATGGTGCCTGCAGATGTGCCACCGAAATGGAGTTCAGACGGTTGCTTCCAGTTTACGGCAAGAGACCACGAAGAGATCTCCATCTTCCGCTTTTACCAAAGGTGGGCGTTTACCTTATGCGCTCCTCAACGCATCCAGTGCTTTGGGGAGGTGGGCTGATGCTGGTGGGAGCTGTGATGGTAGAGAAGGCTGGTATTACATAAAAAAAAACGAGACAACTATCATTACACCGCCTTTCGCCACATGCAGACATTTCGGTCTAAATTTCTTCCTTATTTTACCGTGTTAGACCCTCAAGCAAGTATTGTGGTCCAGCTCAATGTCTGTGTCGTTAAAGGTTTGCATTATACTCCAGCCCCAAAATAACTTTCCTCCTGGAAAATTACCACCTGGTAGTGGTAAGTTCTAATTTAATTTTTTTGAATGATAGTGGCCTAGCTAATCTTTAAATACAGTGCCTATAAAAGTGTTCACACCCTTGGAAGTTTCCTCTTTTAGTGCTTTTCAACATAACAACAGAGATTATTTCATGTCAAAGTGAAAACAGATTTCTACAAAGCAATGTCAGATTTTAAAACTATAAAAGTTAAATAAGTATTAAAGTTAGTAGATGCAACTTTGGTTGCAATTGCAGCTTTGAGACTGTGTGGATAGATCTCAATCAGTCTTGCATACCTGGACACTGCAAATTTACCCCATTCTACTCTAAAACATTCACCGTCTTGTCTTTAAACCATTGATGTGTAGCTTAGGCTGTGTACCTTAGGTCATTTAGTCGCTGAAAAACAAGTGTTCTCCCAAGTCGCAGTTCTCTTGCAGACTGCTTGAAGTTATAATCTAGGATTTCCCTATATTTTGCTGTATTCCTGTTACCTTTTACCTTTATAAGCCTTCCAGGGCCTGCTGCACTGAAGCATCCCCACATAATGATGCTGCCACCACCGTGCTTCTCAGTGGGGATGGTGTGTTTGTGATGATGTGCAGTGTTTGGTGTCGGCCAAACAGCATCCTGCCTTATGGGAAAAAGCTTTACTTTGGTCTTGTCAAACTAAAGAACCTTAAAGACTCCCGTATGCTTTCTGATAAGCTGTAGTCTAGACTTAAAATAAGATTTCTTCTAAAACACTGGCTTTCTCTTTGCCACCCTCCCATAAAGCTTTAACTAGTGAAACAGCTGTTGTATGCACAGTCTCTCCCAGCTTAGCTGCTCAAGCTTGGAACTCTTTCTAACATTCATGTTACAGTTTAAATATGAACATCACAACACAAGTAATCTTGTGCATAAATAACATTATATACATTTTTAACTTTTGTGTAAAGCAAGCTGACAATGGAATATTTTTATTCACTGGACTGAAAACCATCCTTTAAATGAAAGCACACGAGAAGTTTAGAGGTAAAATTATTAACATGAAACACCACACGGAGCCAAACTGTACACATTTTGTAATTTGGGAACTGCAGGTTGAGTCTTTACCAGAACAGATTATTGTTGATGGCTGGTATTTTAAGCTTATTGTGTGTTTTTTCTAATGTAAAATCTGGGTCTGAAAAGTATTTACAACTGTCAGATAAATGCAATGGAGGAAAAAGTATGCAGCATGTAGTAGAATAGAAGTAGGAATGAAAATACTCATGTAAAGTCAAAAGTGCTTGAGTAAATGCACTTTACTTTTTGATCTTTTTTTCAAGATTGATTTCAACATTTACTTTTTTTTTTTTTTTTACCAAAAAACACAACTCACAGACAGCACTGTAAGATAAAAAGTAAAGTTTACTTGGAGAGTGAATGCATACAAGAGTCGATAACAGCCTTAATAATGCAAAGCAGCAAAGGCACACGGAGAAAAGCCTGCGGTTCAGAACAGACAAACGCTGGCGGGCAGAGAAGGAGACTGAAACCCTATACAGTCTGGCAGGGAATGAAAGAAAATGGGCTGGTGTAAATGCATCTAAGCTGATGACGTAATGGGGAGCAGGTGTGGAGGTGGTTGTGTAAAAGTCAGGCGATAAGGAATTGCGGGAACAAGAGGGTTACTGAAGGACAAGTGGGAGTGGCTCTGAAATGATGGGAGACCTTGTGCCGGGCAACGACAAAAAGCAGAAATAAAACAGAGAACTCATTGTTGTGATACTTCATGGGAGGTTTTCTCTCCTGGAATTTCAAAACATGTTTTCAAACTTTCTGCAAATGCAGCATTCCAGAAAAAAAAATAAAGGTGACTTGTATATGTCCTGAGCAATCTGTCTTTGAAACAATGGTCCAGTATATAGAGGAAGAACATTTTTTCTCTGTAACTTTAATTGCTGCATTTAGGGTTGGATTGCTCTGCAGTTGGCTCAGAAACTGCAGTATCGTGTTGTTATTGGCTTTCATCCTAATCACATGCCTGGCTATAGCTGCACAGCAGCCAAATGCTTTTCTTGAAAATTATACAAAGAAACACAGTTTAATTTGGGGATAATGTTGCACTAAAATAATACAATGTCAGTGATGCCAGCTTCTATTTAAGGAGTGTATTCGTAGTCACATAAACTGAGACAGTCATGACGGTGCATATCTTTGTCCAAGAGGTGGCAATGTTTGTCCACTGACAGATTGATTTGACTCTGCAAGATCCAAGGCCTGAAATGGCACAAACCAAGAATCTCTGCCTAAAATTTTAATGATGTTTTGATTCATTTCATTTGTGTTTCTAAATCACAAACAGCAAAAGTATGATGATGATCTTATTTAACAGAAAAGGTAAAAAATGGTCATTTACACAATGTGTATGTCTCCAACATGAAGGTAATACAAATTATGAAGAGACAGTAATGTTAAGTGGGACATAGTGTTTTTTTCAGAGAAACTTGTTTTTTAAAATGTACTGTTTGAAAACAGAATTTAGTGAATTATTCTGTGCGCCCTTTTCAAAGTCAAAATATGGAGATCTTGTCTGACCTCTGGGGGAGAATAATGAGGTGTCCCATCTGAAAATGTCAGGTTTAATTTTAGAGACAGTATCAAATGAAAAATACTGAGATTTCATGGCTGCTGTTTCAGTCCAGATTTTCATCATTATGGCTGATGTCATTAAATGCATACACTAGAGTCTCATTGTATTTTTGGATATGCATAGAGAAAATGTGACACCCACCAGCAGTTTAAAATACCATTTGTGAAGGTTGATGTGTTTTTAGATTTCTAGAAAGTGTTATTTTTATTGCTCGGTGTTCCACAAACCCACAAAGAATGATCTAAGTCTTATGTTGAAATCAGGGCTAAACCTTTTTCATGACTTGTTGCTATGTCATCCTTCCTCACTTCTGCTTTGTGGAAAAAAATGGAAAGACAAAAAAATAATCTCAAAAAAGTGGATATAGGCACATTTGTGGTTTGTTAGTAAAATCACAATTTATTCACAATCATTGTGTTAATATTTTATGTGAAAATGTATATGTATGTTTGTTATAAACATGGACATGAGGTCAACTTCTTGAAATATCTCTAATCTCTAACACTGAAAAAACAGGAGCAAGGCTGATAGGCAAAGTAAACACAAGACTGGAAACCGCTGAACAGTTTTTACACTCTGTATTAAATTTCATTTTGTCCTGTAGCCTGTATTTATGTTCAGTTCATGTCATTGTTTCAAAGTGTATTACCCAAAGAGGAACAAAACAGGATATGCACAGTTACACGACAGTGTTTTAGAATTTTGTACATCCACCCTGCTTCACATTTGAAATGCATTCATTGTCCTTTCTGATAGGGAAAAACATCCTATAAAGTAATAAGACATATGATGTTTAACATATTGGTAAGAATATAATGTGTCACCATGCCTTCCTGTCTTGCTCAGGAAACAGAAAATTTGAGTACAGATTATCTAAACACCATCTCTGAAATATCAATCATCTAATGAATCCAGCTTTGTGCTCCGTCAGTGTAACCCATACTTCCATTTCATCATCAGTGGTGCTAAAAATCTGTTCCCCCAGCCAAATCTGGGAAGGTTTGTTCTTCAAGTTGTCTGCCTACAGAGAAGGAAATGAATGTATTAATTTATTATTAATATTTATTCATTTCATTGGCTATTGCACTTCACTTACACACACTGAATAGAAAATTGGTGACATGATGTTTACCCACTGTGTGATCACTATAAAATGATTTCAAAGTATGACTTTCTGGATAGAATTAAAATAATGTGACAACTTTGAAATGTAACATCATGACTTGAAAGGAAATGTTTTAAACTGTAATCTATGAACTCTCCTGTAGAAAGTTAGTGACTAACCAGCTTCCTGAATGTTAAGGAGAAGTAATGACTTCAGTTTTCTTCTGCAAACATCCTCATCTTTCTCTGATCTGTGACTAAGACTATAAAGGCAATAAATAACTTCAGTTGCTGCCATAAAGTAGCCAGAATTGCCTTTCAGTTGACGTGAATCTAACAAAATACCCTTATGTAGAAATCTTGCTCAAACTGTGCAGTCATATTGCTGTCAACCGCATCAGTCAGCAATTTCAAATATAAATTCTTCTCATTCATATAAGACTTTATTCTCAAGTTAATCTAGTAACACTTTCCCAAAAAACACAGTAAATTGATAGAATATGATAAATAAACTTACACAGCTGGTCTATTTGCAAGCACTTCTTTGACCCATGGAGCATTAGGGTCCAGACAAATCCTTTTTCCATCCTTTTTAAGAGTGGCACTACAGGATCAGACCCAAGACATCAGACACAGTGTAAGACTTTATAGTATTGCTTCAGACCCATTAAAACACAATCACCTTGGGCATGCTTCAAGTTTTTTATGAGTACAAATGAACAGAGCAAGTTTGACCCTTGGACTTACATGATCTCTATTTCAGGGCAGTGTGAGCTTCCAGGTCTCACTTCCACCTCTCCTATGAAACGGCCAATCTTCCTTTTTTCCTTCTTGATACAGTGACATCGCAGAGGTCCTCCCTGATCCCCAACACTGATACCTGAGGTTTGTAGAGATAATAGAAGGATTTGAGCATCTGGACGGAAACAAGCCACATGACAAGAATCCCAGCTCTGATGCTATCAACAGGTGTTAAAAATGAATTTCTAAGAATCTTTCAACACTTATCTTTATTCATTTTGTTATTTGACAGATTACACTCACCTTCATGGATGATCAGGAAAACCAAGAGTGCCACAGTTGCAATGGTAGACATATTTGCTTTTAATCTGAATTCAGAGATCCCAGGGATACTATTAAAGTTGTCAGTAGCCTGCAAACCTTTATGCGAAGCTCAGCCCTTCCCTGTGCAGCTGCTGCAAACTGTGATGCAAGTCTGCTCTTTTAAGGCTTTTTTTTCTTCATGAAGTGCTCCCTCCTACTTATTCCAAGGAACTGAGTTTTTTTTTTAAAAATTCTTGTAATGGTACTTCTGATAGTAATGACTAATTTAATAATAGTTTTCTGAGAACTTGTTGACTATAAAATATGTATGCAAAACTAGGTGTTGTGTATTCTTCATTTTTGTTCAGTGTCAGCAGTGATTTTGTTTTCTCGTCTCTTTTTGATATCCTGCCATAGGTGCAGCAGAGGTGTATTAGCAGGAACACAACTGAACACTCGTCATTTAGGGGATTTAATTCTTATGGGAAAATCAGTTTCCAGTGAAAATCATTCGGTGTTGTTGCAGCTGAACTCAGTCAGCAGAGAGTTATCTTGAGCCTGGATTTCTGTGCCAACCAACTACAACCATGTATTCTGTCTTCTCAGTTCTGTTACATTTCAACATCTTTGTTTTGATTATAAAGTCGAAAGGCCTTGCAACGTCACCAAACAACTCCAAAAAAAAGAAACAGCAATGTGCAGAAACCAATATGTTCTGTATGTAGACACATGTAGACATGGGGATAATGTCACTGTAAATGCATTTTGTGTACAATAAATAAATAAATAAATAAATAAAGCTGAAGAAAAACTATTGCAGAGCAGGCAAATACGAATTTGGAGGTTTCTGAATATAATCTACAGTTGTCATATATAATTCTACAATTTCATTTCGCAGACGCTTTCGTCCAAAGTGGCATACCTGTGAGAATAGATACAACACAAGCAAGCATCTAGTCACTAGAAAACAACCTGGATAAGTGCCATAAAACAAGATCAAGTCTGATAGAACCTTGATGCCTACAGGCAGTGCAGGAGATAATAGGAATTTTATTTATTATCATTTTTTGGTGCTTTTTTTTTTTTTTGCAGTCTTTCAAGTACAGCAGTGAGTTACGACAAACAAGCGAGCTTGTCCTGGCATGACGCTTATCAGAGGAATGCTACTACAAATCAGTAGTATATAAACTGCAGGACCACCCATCCTCCGACAGCACTCCAGCTCAAAGTTTTGTGGGTTTCAGTCTTCAACCACCTATTTGTAAATCTGAAAATTCCCAGACATTATCCAAATCTCCCAGAGGCCGACTGCATTAGAGTCTCATTTGGAAGGTTCTTACTTCCTTGTATTGTGTATCATTCATCATCGTGTCATTCGACACTGAAACTATTGTTTCCTACTGTACACAAAGGAAATCCTACATGCTTATGCTAAAGTGACACGCTAATGCTCAAGCATACCTATCAGCTTTACACAAAGACTAAAAAACACAAACCAGGAGAACGACTGGATAATGACACGCTCATGATTCATTCCTGGTTTTCCCAGCTTCTGTTTTCATGCTCATTATCTCGGCCGTTTGTAATTGGTATCAGTGTGTGGTGCTTTGTGTGCAAGAGCGCACAGTGAATGTTATCAGGCAGTTTGCTGTCTCAGACGAAACCTCCGTCTAAATGTACAGTGTTGCATACATATGCTATGTAATGGAATACTATTATTCCACTACAAACTTTTCTGCACTGTCCTATGTTATTCAAAGTTACATTAGTGCTGAAGAAGACAGTATGCATCGCAAGCTATTTTTTGTCAGGTGAAAATCTTTTCATTTTTTAAATTTTTGCTCATGATTAGTATTCTTCTAGTTCCATTCCTGCTGGTGTGGTGCAGCTAATTGTTTTATGCATGCTTGTATGGCAGGAATGTAATCTGTTTTACAGGTATCTGGCCATAGCAATAATAATAAAGTATTACACAAACTGACTTTTATTCTGTGTTGGACTTTAATGTACGTGCCATATTTCATGTGAATTCATGCAATCATTGTCGGGACATCTCAATAAACAAAATCAAGTGAACCTGTTGGGGCAAGGTGAAAGATTATGGCATCATCAAAGTTATTAGGCGTAATCCCTTGGGAACAGCTCAACTCTGTACAAAATTTTGTGCAATCGATCTAGCAGATTTTGAGATATTTCACATGCTTGCAAAAAAAATAAATGGACCTCCTGAAAATTTGTTTGAATTCATCCTCCCAAGACCTTGAAAATCTGGACAAAATGTCATGACAATTATTCTTTCTCTTTACTCTATTTACTTAGATTTATATTATGATGCCATTAAATGATAAGTCATTACAATGCCACCAGGTCAGCCAAGTTTTATCTGAGTTTGGCGTACATCCATCCATCCATTATCTGTACACCGCTTAATCCTCACTAGGGTCGTGAGGGGACTGGAGCCTATCCCAGCTGACTTAGGGTGAAGGCAGGGGACACCTGGACAGGTCACCAGTCTATGGCAGGGCCACACTTAGAGACAGACAACCAAGCACACTCACATTCACACCGACGGACAATTTAGAATCACAGTTAACCTCAACATGTTTTTGGACTGTGTGGGAGGAAGCCAGAGACCAGAGAGAACCCACGCTGCATGGAGAGAACATGCAAACTCCACGCAGAAAGAACCCAGGCATCCACACCAGGATGCGAACTGGCGACCTTCTTGCTGCGAGGCAACAGTGCTAGCCACCTTGAAGCCCAGTTTGGCCCACATATTTATCTGATTTAAGTGCTTTTCTTCTCTGCACTAATGAAAGTTCAGTGGAAAGTTTTGTAATAACCAAACATCTATGTATCATGCTGTCACAGAAAAAATGATCATACTTCTTATGGGATCTCCTGTGGCTACAGAGCCTTTTTCCTCTATTGTCTGTGTGAAGTTGATCCTATACTTACAAAATCAAATCTTGCATATCATTTACAATAATTAAAAAGTTCACAATTTGAAATTGGCTCTGTTAAAAACAATAAACGACATAAATGCACAACAGTTTCCTTTTTCACTTTGATTGATCTGTTGTGAAAAATCTGCCCACAGCAACAAATAGAATTTTGGGGGAAGACCAATGAATGAAGTGGTCATTTGGTTCCAAAAGTATGATTGTCACATGCCGCGTGTCATCCTATTTTTGTCTATCTCACAACATGTATTGGCTTTAACAGCAGCAGCAAAATGTTAAATTAGAAAATTTCCATTGAAGTTCATCACATGCTTTACACAGAGTTGACCATACAAGTACGAGCATGATTTTAGACATGACCTGGTCAAAGCTTCCGGTCCACCTGAGATTTATTTTAGTTGTTGTTCAACCATGAAGCAACTACAAGTATATCAAATATGGTTGTATTGCTAACAGACAGAATTTTGGCATCTGTCCAAAAGGGTTCAGTCAGTTTAACATGATTTATGTGAGGCAACAACTGAAAAATATGTGTCAAAACCACAACATTTGGCCCGTTTAAAAGTTTCTCAAGACTTCATTCTGCTTTGTGAGCTGTAGTGTCTGTAGTGACGTGGTAAATGCCAAAAGATCTGTCAGAGCTTGTTGAGATTACATCAGGTATTTGTCCCATGAAAGTTTTTTGGCATGTGGCCTGACGTTGCTTCAGGAATGTCAAACGCATGAACTACCAATGTATGCACTTCATAATGACTGTCATAATTGCCTGGAAATGACATGCTCATATTATAGGGTGCATAAATGTCAAAAGTTCAAGATTCAAGATTTATATATTCATCACATACACAGCTATATAACTACAAGACTATAAGAGTCTGCAAATAGAATAGAAAACTTAGAACAATGTAAAAAAAAAAGTACAGAGGCACTCACCTAGTTTAGGGGGCGACCCATGAACAGGGGACATAGTTCGAGGGTCCTGGGTTCGACTCCCGCTCACAACCCTTTGCTGCGGGTCTCTCTCTGTTCTTCTCTTCCCTTTCCTGTTTATCGCTACTGCTGTAAAACGAAGGCAAAAAGCTATTTAAAAAAAAAAAAAGTACAGTGAGGGAAAATAAAAGCTACACAGTGTATAAATGTTACATACAATGGAATGTGCAGACATGATGCACGGAAATACAAATACTATTAAAAAGTGTTGTATGCAAGTATTATTCATTAACAGCCACATCAGTAAAATCCTTGATTGATGTGTACAAGAAGAAGAAGAGGATCTATCTATCTATCTATCTATCTATCTATCTATCTATCTATCTATCTATCTATCTATCTATCTATCTATCTAGATATGTGTGTGTGTGTGTGTGTGTGTGTTTCAGGTGTTGAACTGCATATACACAGTCTTAATATCCAGCACTTGTGTAGCTTTTGTTCCTGACAGCTACAGGTGTATGACCCTGATTTGCCTTTATTAAATAAGCAATAAATCTGGCAGTGCATTCGGAGTTTGGACACTGTCTTAATGAGTAGATGTCTGAGTATGTGAGAGATCTGCCAACAGCAAGTTCACAAATGCCTCTTTTCACAATAGACGTCCTGAAGGTGAAATTTTAGATGACAAAACCGGAGGGTAACATTCATCAGTCACTCATTCTGATATTGCATTGAACTGTTCGTTTTATTACATGTCACCAGTGAATCAGTTGTCGCTTGATCAATTTTGCATCCGTGAGCCTGGCATGAGCCACGGTGCCTACTCTTTCAACAGGAGTACAGATATATAAAAAATTACAAAACACTTTCTCTCAAGCATTCCTGCCACATCTGTCAATTTATTACAGAGCTTTAGTCACAGTGATTTTCCAAATGATAACCCCGTATGAGTGACAAATGCTGAACCATGAACAGCCTTGATAAATCAGAGACAAGGAAAAAAAAAAGGAAGTAGCAGAAACCTGTCACTGTAAATTCCCGCTCAGCTGCAGATAGTCCCAGCTTGCGCAACCAGCCTGAGCCAGGAATTGACTCATTTCCGGGAGACGGCTTTAAAAGGACGGCCTCTTCAGCGCTAGATTCAAACAACGAACAGCAGAGAGCGAGAAAGCAGCTGAACTCAGAAGAGGAAAAGTAGTGGAGAAAGGGAACTGAAGGAAATAAAAATACTGCAGAATAAAATATACCTTCTCTACTTTGAATAGTATTCAAGCTTCATCTGACAACATCTGAAGAACATTCTTTCATCATTAGTTGTTGCAGAATTTTTAAAATCTAAATGGCAAGCAGCAGAGTCATCGTCACCTCCATTGTTGTGTTCTTGGCCTTCCTGGCCGTCAGTGAAGGTAAGCTTTTTTTGTTATTTAATAATTGAATGCAACAGCAATTACTTGTTCAATTTCTGCTGTCCCCTTTTCCTCAATGCATTAAGAGTTATCAGCTCATACTCTTGCACTTTGTGACCATATGCAACTCCTGCCTCTTCACAGGGATCAGTCTGAGGGGTCTGAAAAGTCTGGGAGTGGAGCTGCACTGTCGCTGCATCCAGACAGAGAGCAAACCCATCGGCCGCCACATTGAGAAGGTGGAGCTGATTCCTGCCAACTCCCACTGTGAGGAGACTGAGATCATGTAAGAGCCAAAGCCCTCATCCCATCTCAAGAGTGATGATGTTGGCATTTTGAGATGATGTCATTGTCGCTTCTTGTCTCTGGCATCAAGCCTTCGTCAAAACTTACATCTCTTTTTATTGCTTTGTTCTGCAGTGCCACTCTGAAAAAGACAGGCAAAGAGGTTTGTCTCGACCCCGAGGCTCCCTGGGTGAAGAAAGTGATCCAGAGGATCATGTCCAGGTAAGAGTCACTCACAAATACACTTAGAAACATTAGTGTATTGAACAGTCTGTGATTCTAGTGATGGATCTAATCATGGATAATCATACAATGTTCAAGTCCACTTTTGACACACAAAATAATTTTTTGTTTTTCTTTTCTCAGCAGCTCAAGACGCTAAAGAGATGTGAGAGACGGTACTTCATGAGCAAGCTGTTTATCATCAAATGAAAAGTACCAAACAGTGTTTTTTGACCAAATGATCAAGTTTTTACATTCATTTTGTTTTAATAGCAAAGAAACACTGTCCTGATCAACTCCTGAAAATGACAACAGCATTTATTTATCTGATCAAGTTGTTTGTATCAAACATGCTATTTATTTACGTCCTTTCTTATTTCTATGTCACATATGTATGTTGCAGCCAAGCAACTCTTTGCTGCTTGTGGACTTTTACAAACCGTACCACTCTTGTCTTATTTAAAATATTTATTTATGTATTTATGAACATTGTGTGTATCTTAGTATACATAGTTGTGTTTTGGTGATATCCTGTTAACTGATTAAAATATTATCTTTAAACTGAAAATGAAATTGCTTTGTTTTGTCTTTCCTGTATATTATTCAGGAGCTCTACATGCTGTATGTCCCTTACAAGGTTGTAGTCATGGGATTTCCAATATCAATCAAAAATGTTAACACCTTTTAACTGGTATATCTTACGAGTGGTGGAATAATAATAGTATTTTCTTGAATAAAGTACCAAAATTAAGTGTACTTCAAATTAAACGTCCTCATTCTGCATAAAAATTACCCCATGACTGATTTATAGTCCTATATATGATTATTAAAATGTTGGAATTATTACTAAAATTGACTAACTTTAGAGAGCCACTACTGATGCATCAGTGTGTATGTATTGTTGTACTCCTTTGTAGAACAGCCAATATAAACACTGTCACCCAAGAGAAATGCAGAAGTCTGGTTTCCTCTTCGACCACTTGAATTACAACAAGCTGCCAAATGTTGCTGAGGAATTTTTGCTCAATGACACGAAATAGTTATGAGAAAATAGGAGAAAACTGTATCTTTAACTATGCATTGCATGTTATGAGCTTATCATATGTTTTCTTTTTAACATAAAATGTCTAAACTAAAGCTTTCAAATAAATGTAGTGAGAAGAAGATGTGTAAAGTAGCTGTGAAAGTAAAAAGTAATCTGCCAATACAATGTTTCTGTTAACGCTCCGTTAACTCTCACTACGCAATGTTTGAGCAGAGTTTGACTGCTGTTTGAAGATTTGTTTTGTGAAGGGGGGATGTGTCCTAGAGCAAGTACCAGCATGAGTTTGTGGCACGAATGCTACGTGGAAACCTGACACCTCTGGTGCACATGAACTGAGGGTAAAAAGACGGAGACATTTTCAGTAGACAAACAAATGAACACTTTATGCATGTTTATAGACAATGCATTTTTTAAAGAAAAAAATAGAGTGGGTGTACTTAAGAAAAAAAAAAAAGTTAGTAAACCTTTAATTGACCTCTTTGTTGGAAGATGTATATCACATTATGCATAATCTTTAATTTTACACACAATGAGAATCATATTTAGTAAGTTACATGCACAGTAAGTGAAAAACAAATCAAAACAACCCTGTCCAGTCCAGAGAAACAAAATGATAGCACAAAAATACCTAATGCAATATCCAAAGTGTTCAACTGCACAAACCTTCCTCTTCACTCGGGTCAGAGTTTTAGAGCATGCATTCAAATGCAGTTGAACTCCTTGGTTTCCTGTTTAAACATTTTGTATTGTTTTGTATATTTATACTTTTGAACATTTGTTTTTCTACTTGTGGCCTTTTTTTGTTTAGTTTTTTACATTTTTGATTCTGTGCCTCTGACTGCAAGACAATTTCCCCATCTGGAGTAGCTTTTATTGCACAACTTCTTGGGTTGTGTCCTGGATCATCTGTGTTCCAATTTCTCTTGTCACTTACTTACTCAGTCGCTGCAGTCAACTTTACAGAGCGGCACCACATGATGCTACTGTCCTCACTGCAGGGCCTAACTCTCAGTTTATTTCAACATGGATAAATAAACCTACGCTGTATTGTTTTACACTGGGTCAACTTAAAAAACTTGAGTCCCTCTGTTGCCATTAAAAAACAAACAAACAAAAAATGAGTTAAATAAACATATTGTAACTAATTAGTTTGAAGTTGTTGTGTGAGCTTGGAAAATGGAAAAAGAGCTTGGGTAACTGAACTGGGGAAAAAAACAAAACTTAATAAAACCCAACATTTATTTAAGATTTATTACGTTAGAAATGTTTAGACACACTGATGACTGTTCCTGTCACATTTGTTTTCTCTTACTTTTTCTCAGTTCTTCATTTTACATGAGGACAACACAGCTGCAGTTACTCCTGTTGAAGATGACAGGTATATCTGCCCTGAGGGACTTATTTTTAAATTATAGGAGTTAGAGGAGTAAGGAATCTGACATTAACCTTCATCAGGGTTATTTTTTCATATGTTATTAAAAGAGGCAGCCATGACTTGTCTTGACATGACATGTAAGGTATTGAGGACGCACAGCAAGATCTCATTTTATGGTGGATTTTTTTCTTTAGGGTACAAAAGAGAAGAGTTTCTGGAGTGTTTAAACTTAAGGCCCAATGCATGCAGGGAAGTCTGCTAATGTGCTGATATGTTTTTTCTTTTTCTTTTTCTTTTAAAAAAAAATCTCAATCTTATGACTTTAGTGAACTCAGCAGCACATTCATTTAACTCATATTTTCAGTTTTCATGCTTCTAAGTTCTTAAATGATTTAAAAATAAAAAATAGAAAATGTATCTTTAAATGTTAAGTTGATGTTTAGTATAGATAAACCAGAACAGATCTGTTGATTCCACTAATTTCCTGTAGGATGCTTTATAGTGTGACAGTAGAGATTTGGTCTGTCTGCATCATGAATCACGTACGCTTACTACTTAATTTGCATTACCTTTCACACCCCTGCTGATGAATATTATCAGCTGTGATAATGTGACTCATATTGTGCTCACGTTTTGAGTTTGTATGTCTAGTGGAAACACCTACTATTGCAGGAACTACCACAAGGTGTTTTGAATACTTTGACAGGTACTTAATGTGCCTGTCTTTCTGTCTGTGCACAGGTGTTGTCACAACCCTGCAAGATGCCATCATGGAACTTTACAGGTGAGATCAAAATGAAATCAAAGTTCAAATATGGGTGTACTCTAACCCATCGAATTTAATCTCATCTAATCTAATCTATTATTGATGTAGCAATGGCTACTCTGTACTCAGGGTTGAATCCCAAGCCTAAAAAAAATGCATTCAGTCAATTGGAGCCTATCCCAGCTGACTTAGGGCGAAGGCAGGGGACCCCCTGGACAGGTCATCAGTCTATCACAGGGCTATGCTTGGAGACAGACAACCAAGCACACTCACATTCACACCTATGGACAATTTAGAATCACCAATTAACCTCAACATGAACCAGCAACCTTCTTGCTGCGAGGCAATGATGCTAACCACCGATCCACCTTGCAGCCCTTTAGTCAATTCAGTCACATTATTTTTACCTCATGTGTCTGTGTGTATGTGTGTGTCATCACGGCAAAATGAGTAGACACTTAGTGTAGACAGAACCACCACAAAATCAGTTTTTGATACTGTGTATTAATGCTGTGGCAGACATTAATGCACTGAACAGCCACTTAACCTCAGCTGACTGGTGAATAACACTAATTATCAATGCAATATTCTGCTGGAAGACCTTGATTGCTGCATTCATATGAATGTAACTTTGATATGTGTCACCCACTCAAACATCAAGCACACACCCCTCCATTTCAACAGCACAGCAGCAGTCTGCCCCAGCAGGAAAATGTACTTCCCCACAACACTAAAACTTCTCAGGAACAGCTAAAGTAACACAACAAAGCGTCCAAAGTGTTGACTTGGCCAGACTTCTGAGATCTCAGCAGAACAATCCCAGTCCACAAAGGCCCCACCCCACGATCCCCAGGACCCAGATAATCCACTGCCAACATACTGCTTTCAGATGCCACAGGACATCTGAAGAAGTCCCATGTCCTGATGGGTCAGAGCTGTTCTGGAAGCACCAGTGGGTCTTATACAATATGAGGCAGGGGGTTTTATTGTTTTTTTATCAACACATAGTGTCACACCCGTGCAAGATGCACTCACCAGATCACACAGTTGTGGGCTGATTTCAAAGACAGGTGTGGTGTGACTCACGAGTAGCTGCTGAGTAGTCATGTAATATGTAGTAAACCAAAAGTGAGGTTTTTTTTTTTCTTTTACAATTTACTGTTATTTAACACACTTTCCCCAGTTTGTTAAATTACAGGTGATAACTAGTTAAGTCACAGAACAAAGTGTAAAACAACCAAAAAATAGGGCAAAACTGTAAATAATGTTCACATTAAAAATCTGTATTTTTGTAAATAATAACTCTGTAACTGTAAAATCCCACAGTTTCACTCTAATTCTAAAAATGTATTTTTTAAAAGGCATTTAACAATTTTATACTTACTTTATTTTTATACTTTAAAAAAAAAAAATTTTGAACGTTACACTATTTCAACATTTTTTTATTTTTATTTTTTTTACAAATTTTTTTCTGGCACCCTTTCTGATGGATTTTCTCCAGTATATTTATACAGATTTTTCTTTTTACATTGTACTTCTGAGTCAAAATGTTAGCGTATTAGCTGAATTGGCACATTGACTGGTGTGATCCCATCCCAGGGCATTCTCTTGTTGTCACCATGATGCTACAACAGCAAGAAAATGAATTTTATTGGGGTTTTTTTGTTTGGTTTTGTTTTTTCATTATTGTATTTTGCATTGAGAGATTTATTATACCAAAAATAAGACCTGACCTGAGCCCCAACAATTTAGAGTTGCAGCTCTGTAAATTCGGAGCACTAATAAGAGACGTTTTCTGCTGTGTACACCTGTTCGAACTTTAACCCAGTTAGCAGGGAACATTCCCACAACACTGGCAAACATCACCAACAAATTTGAATAATGTTTTAAAGTTTTAATCTCATTTGCAAAGAACGCTTTAAGGACAATAAACTTTTCAAATAATGTTCCTAGAAAGTTAAAATGAAACTAAGATGCCATGCTTTACCTGCAACAATCAGAGGATGTTTGGAGGTTGTTGTCAGGGCCACAGACTATGTTACACGTGAACAAAGGAAGAAGGTTTTCAAACCAACATTCAAAAAATGTTTTCAAGATGTTACTGAGGCCTTAGATGATAACTGTTTTTTTTGTTGTTTTTTTTTTTTTTTACATTTTATTTTAAATACAACAAACGTGAAAAAAAGCACGATGGGACCTATAAACTAATATTTTGCTGAACAACCCTTTGAGCCAATCACTGCAATCAAGTGTTTTCTGTAACTCTCAATCAGACTTCTGCACCTGTTGACAGGTATTTTGACTTCGGCCCACTGCTCATCAGCAACATGCTCTAATTTGTCTGGGACAGTTATTTTTTTCATCATTCTTTTCAACCACAATTCAAA